CTTAAGTTTCGTCTGTACGAAGTTACGGAAAATCAATTAACAACGGTGACGTAACAATATATCCAAGTTTTAATACTTTCGTTAGTTAGATAAATTACCATAGATTTCCGTTCTACAACAGAAAACGTATGCGAGAATTATTCTACGGTCAGAAGTGTTTTTATGGTAGAAATGTACACCTTAAGTTCAGTGAATTTTTAAGCATTGACGTTTCACATAAACTGTTTTGTTTGATAGTTGTAAGAAACAACGTGCATGTTATTGGCCTATAATTAAGGTATATCATACATGTTTGGTTTCATGGTTGATTAGATAAGATTGAAAATTTTCGGCCTAAAATTTCATCATAATTTTTGTACAAATTATTGAATAAAGATATTTATATTTTATAAATAAATTTATTTAAATATTCATTAAACTGTTTCTGGAATAATATAGTTCGGATAACTAGAGTTTAGAATGTTTTATGTTTCATAAACTGTCAATGAATTATACGAGACAGGCCTAACTATAAAGTCAATCATTGTCAACGAGACAAAGGGTTATTCGAAATAGGTTTAACTATAACATTATTTACTGCCAATGAGGCGAAGAGTTATACGAGATAGGCTTAACTATAACATTATTTACTATCAATGAGGCAAAGAGTTATACGAGACAGGCTTAACTATAACATTATTTATTGCCAATGAGGCAAAGAGTTATACGAGACAGTCTTAATATAACATCATTCACTGTCAATGAGGCAAAGAGTAATATGAGATAGGCTTAACTATAACATTATTCACTGTCAATGAGGCAAAGAGTTATACGAGACAGGCTTAACTAGAACAGTATTTATTGGCAATGAATCATGCAATATGAGTTTGGTATAACAGTATTTTGTTTATATTCATACCTAGTTTGGAAAGACAGTTGGATAAAACACAGTAAATGATCTGTTAAGTTGTACAAGTTTTATCTTCTCACCAGTCGAAGCACCATTGACTTGTTAGAAGTTACATTTATTCTTCTCTCTATATAAAAGTTTTCAGAAGGTAAAATACATTGGTATCATTCCTAACGTATGTTAAAATGCTTAACATGGATATCTCGTCTTCCTACTCTCAATCTAAGCAACAACCATTTCATTCAAAACCGCGAATAAGTTACACTGTGTATATTTATTAATGTCAGATTATTAACAACTGTATTCATATTTGTCTTCTACTTGAACGTAAGGTGACAATGTATTCAAAGTGAGATGTAGACATCCAAAAGTGCTTTATGTAAGTGGTGTTTTTACGATATCTAACTCGTTAGGAGTTAACAGAATAATCTGTTTAAAAATGTTGATTATTTCAGATGAGAAGAAGATGAGCGATGAAGACATGAAAAAACTCCGAGACGATATAATTGTTTCGTTTAACCGCCAGATGGAAGTCAGGTATTAGAATTTCGTGTGTGATAGACGATAGGAATAACCTATGTACATTTGCACCTACAGTTTTAACTACCTAAATCTAACGATGTTTATCTTTAGATTTGTATTTTGAAAGTTAAAATGTTTGTGTCTAGATTTGTGTCCAAAAGTTGACGATATCTTTGTCTAGATTTATTTTACAAAAGATGGTGATTTCTTATAGTAAAGCTACATCGGACTATCTGCCGTGTCTATCGAGCATAATCGAACCCCTGATTTTAGCATTATAAATCCGAGGACTTGGTGCTGTCCCACAAGACGACAGATGATGTTGTTTGTGTCTAGATTTTTGTTCAAAAAATTTGTGATGTTTATGTTTAGACATATTTTCCAAAAGGTGGTGAAGTTTGTGTCTGGATGTTTTTCCCAAAATGACAGTATTTGTGTCTGGATGTTTTTTCCCAAAATGACAGTATTTGTGTCTGGATGTTTTTCCAAAAATGACAATGTTTGTTTCTGGATGTTTTCCAAAAATGACAATGTTTGTGTCTGGATGTTTTTCCCAAAATGACAGTATTTGTGTCTGGATGTTTTTTCAAAAATGACAGTATTTGTGTCTGGATGTTTTTCCCAAAATGACAGTGTTTGTGTCTGGATGTTTTACCAAAAATGACAATGTTTGTTTCTGGATGTTTTTCCCAAAATGACAGAATTTGTGTCTGGATGTTTTTCCAAAAATGACAGTATTTGTGTCTGGATGTTTTTTCAAAAATGACAATGTTTGTGTCTGGATGTTTTTCCAAAAATTGACGAGTTTGTGCCCATATTTGGTTTTCAAAAGGCTTCTTTACTTACTAGATCCTTGTGACTTTTTAAAACTTACTTTAGAAACAGAGAATTTCTCACAGATTTACTTATTACTCTCGATTTTAATTTTCAGCTCTTACTTTAAACATTTACGGTGCTTGTTAGCGGTTCCCGATGTCCTAACGTTAGTTAAAGTGTTTCTTGTATACTTACACCACTGATTATTTTTACTAGGAAGAAGGTTATGGAGATAGACAACAAGCTACTGGAATTAACCACAGAGTTTGGAAAACTTGCTATCACTCTGAATGAGTAAGTGTTTAGAGAAAATTATAATTCCACTATCCAAGTTCTATTTTACCTTTTTTTCCCCTCATAATTATACAAATGGAGTTATAAGAGACAAGGTGGGTATCTGATTAACCCCCCCCCTCCGATTTATGCATTTTAATTTTGAAATTGATATGCAATTCACAAACTTACTAAACATGTGGGAGCTGTTTAGTCACCTTCATTAATCAGTCTGGAGTAGTAGAGCATGTAGTTTTAATGGTGCTCAGAATGTCAACTGAGAAACAGGATAAAACTTCGACAGCTCACTACTAGATCACAGGTAAGATAAAACAACCAGCAACGCAAGCCTGAAATCGCTTTTATTAGACTACACGTAATGAATGGTAGTTTGATTTAAGAACAAAAATTGGGGGTTCACTTCTCTTTCAAATTGTCAAAAAGAAATAAAACAACAAAAACTGGTTTAAGGTGTTTGAATACTCTGCACAAACCTTGCTTTTTAACTGCATAAATGATCATAAAACCCACAGTTTGTGCGATAAGTACAAACAAGTCGCTAATCCCCATTCAAAAGGGCTAGCGGGTCAGAAGTTGGGGGCATGTTCTCCCACGTTTTACCGCCTATCTGAACTTTTCCCATTTTCTTATTCGTCTATAAAATAACCTTGCTCTACTGAGCACGCCACATTGATCGTGTTTCAATATCCTGAAAAGAAAATATATATATATATATATAGCCTCATTACAATTCCCGTTGTTCGGTGGTTGCTATGAGAACTAACCCAACAATGGGAGCTAAGTTGATAATGAAGTGTAGAAAGTAGAGTTACTATTCATTATAGTTAGCCTCAATTTCACTTTTTTCTAAATATTATTTAGAAATGTTTGGATCTGTGAAATAAAATGACTATACGTAATTTGTTCTACAGTTTTCAAAATTTCAATTGTAATATATATATATTTTACATTCTATAATTTTCATGAAAAGAAAACGTACATGGGTACATGCGACGTGTTGGCGAACCTAGTGCCATCTGCAGGAGAATATGAGTAATTGAATATTAATTTTTTTTTATGATTATATCTCATAATATTATATAACATAATTTAACACATACTTTGATGGGTTTTTCTGTGTGTAGCTGGGAAACAGAAAAAGCGAAGTTAGATTCCGAGAAAGATAAAGAAACGAGCGACGGCGAGGAAGAAGAAGAACCTCAGCACGTGCGGCAGGCATGGGATGATATCGAGTTTGTTATTTCAGAACAACATCGCTATTTGTCACTGAGAGAAGAGACGGAGAAAGAGTACGATTCCTGTTGTGAGAAGACCTATAAACTGGCTGAAGTAAGACGTCGTGTTCTGAATAACAATGTGTGTGTTGGCACGTATACTAAAACGTGTCTTTGTGCTGAATGTATGTATCCTCTATTAACTAAATCACGATTTCAGGGCTCATATACGTCCTGATCTTATATTAGTTCTATAAATGTGTGAAAACAGAGCCTAATGTTTGTATAGTTAAACGTGTAAACTGTAAGGTAGTTAGTTGTTTTAAAAGTCAATTAAAAACTGTAAAAATACATATATATATATCAAGCTCTTGAATTTCACTGTTTTGTGTCTATTAATTGTTGTAGTTATTACATCTACTGTAACACTGTAGCTTATACAAGTAAATGTGTTACCACTACTGTATCAATGTAGTTTATATTGGTAAATGTGTTACCACTGCTGTAACACTGTAGTTTATATTGGTAAATGTGTTACCACTACTGTATCACAGTAGCTTATATACTGGTAAATGTGTTACCACTACTATAACACTGTAGACATTTACCAATATAAAGTTACCACTACTGTATCACTGTAGTTTATATATTGGTAAATGTGTTACCACTACTGTAACACTGTAGTTTATACAAGTAAATGTGTTACCACTACTGTAACACTGTAGTTTATATTGGTAAATGTGTTACCACTACTGTATCACTGTAGTTTATATACTGGTAAATGTGTTACCACTACTGTGTCACTGTAGTGTATATTGGTAAATGTGTTATCACTACTGTAACACTGTAGTTTATATTGGTAAATGTGTTACCACTACTGTAACACTGTAGTTTATATTGGTAAATGTGTTACCACTACTGTAACACTGTAGTTTATATACTGGTAAATGTGTTACCACTACTGTAACACTGTAGTTTATACTGGTAAATGTGCAGTTTATTCTCTGTAGTTTGATGTGCGTTTTTGTAAAGTTATTTCTCAGTTAGATAATATGTAATATTGAACAGAGTATCTCAACGTTTAGTTATAATTGTAACGTTGTTTTATAAAAACTTACTGAAAGTACCCACAACTGGAAGGAGTACACCTATACAGCTAAAATTATTGCAAGATATAAATATATTTTCATCTTTTAACGTGCATTTCTTTTGTCGATATTTCAATTTTAATTTAAGATATATTTCTGTATGTCTCTCAAAACAGACTTTGCCACAAAAGACAAATTCAGAAGAACAGAAAGAACTTCTTGACATACTAATGAGAGTTCATGAACTTGAAATTGAAAGTATCCTATATTGAATGTTTTTATTTGACCGTATGTAAGTACACTTCAGTAACGTTGGGGCGGATGGCTTTTTTTTGTATTAAATTTGAAAGCAATTATCAATAACTTCTGATCAAATTAAACTACCTGCGTCAATCATAACTAAACAAATCAGCTCAATAATTAATATAGCTAATTTAATACACCGTTTTAACTAAGTGTACCGTCAGAACAAAAACTGATAACGACAATAATACAATGATTTAGAAATTGGGTACTTTAGTTGTAAACGGTGTTTTCGGCCGTAATTCCAATAAAATATATGATGAGGTTCGGCCAACTGAAGTTCGTATAATAAAATATACCATGTTAACCAATATAGCTGGTCTGGTATTGCCTGATGGTTAAGGCACTCGACTCACAATTTGCTAGTTGCAGAATCGAAACCCATTGTCGAACATGGTCGTCCTTTTAGCCGTGAAGGTTGTATAAAGTGATGGTCAATCCCACTATTCATTGTTAAAGAGCAGCACAAGAGTGTGGGTGGTGTTAACTAGCTGTCTTCTCTCTATAGTCTATCACTTTAAAATTAGGGATGGCTCGCGCAGACAGTCCTCGAGTACTTTTGTGAGAAATTCATCAAACAAGAACAACCAATGATGTTTATGAAAGTATCATTAAAGAAAGAGTAAATTTGATTGGTCGTTTTTTTTTAAATTTCGCGCAAAGCTACTCGAGGGCTGTTTGCGCGAGACATCCCTATTTTAGAAGTGATATATTAGAAAGAAGGCAGCTAGTCTACGCCTCTTCTTCTTCTTCCCTTAATACCATTTGGATTTGGGGTTGGCCGCTGGGGTATTTTTTATTATGGTGCATGTTTGGTGACGAGTATTCGAACCCGCGATCCGCAGATTGAGGGTCTAGCACCCTAATCACCAGACTATGCTAGGCCTAAAGCAGCTAGTCAACACCATTCACCGCCAGCTCTTGGGCTACTCTTTAACCAACGAAAAGTGGGACTGACCGTTACATTATAACATCTCCACTAAAAAGAGTGAGCATGTTCAATGACTGGATTCGAACTCGCGGTTTTCAGGTTTCAAGTCGAACGTTCTAACCATTAAGCCATGCCGGGGTGAAAGAATATAATATAACTTACAAAACACATAAAAAAGTATTTGTTTCATGCACTATTACTTATTTCTTGTCCCTTGGGGTCGAGAGTGGCTCTGAAGTTAGCATGGTGGACATGGATCTGCGGATCCCATGTTCAAGTCCCATTACGGCAAAAAACAACAAAAAAAAATAACAGAAATCACCCAGCATTTCGTAGCTGTGGGTACGTAATAAAGGCGACAGTCAGATTCCACTAGTCGGTTAGACAAGATTATCTCACAAGTTTCTGAGAGTGCTATTGGCTAACTGACTTTCTGTTTAGTTTATAATTTCAAAATTAGCACAGATAACCTTTGTGTTCAAAATTAGGGACGACTACGTAACCCTTATGTTTTCGCAAAATTCTAAAAAAAAACAACAGTACAAAAAAATTATGATTGATTTTGCTGGCCCAGTGAGATTTTGTTTACTTCTTTATGATTGATTTTGCTGGACCGGTTATATTTTGTTTACTTTTTTATGATTGATTTTGCTGAACCGGTTAGATTTTGTTTAATTCTTTATGATTGATTTTGCTGGACCGGTTAGATTTTGTTTACTTCTCTATGATTGATTTTGCTGAACCGGTTAGATTTTGTTTAATTCTTTATGATTGATTTTGCTGGCCCAGTTAGATTTTGTTTACTTCTTTTTGATTGATTTTGCTGGGCCAGTTAGATTTTGTTTACTTCTTTATGATTGATTTGCTGGACTGGAGATTTTGTTTACTTCTTTATGATTGATTTTGCTGGACCGGTTAGATTTTGTTTACTTCTCTATGATTGATTTTGCTGAACCGGTTAGATTTTGTTTAC